AAAACGGGCGGTGACTATTCAGATTATGAAACGTCTTCACTATAGCCATCCTTGTCTATCGCACGGATTTCTTTACTTTACTTTGTCGCTCTCATGTAAAGGCAGATGGACCATGTGGATTTTCCAGCCCTGTATATTGTGGCCTGTCGTTCCCATATGATTCTAACCTAACATTTATTTTCATGAAATAGACACTTTCTGTTATATTTCAGATATGAATTCTACATTTGTTGCCATAACAAATCTGTGACGTCAATATCGATAATGTAGCGATAAATCCTTCCATAAATGGTGTAATATGTCAACTTTAATAAAGTTCACGCATGTTATGTTTAATTGTTTGCATGCTTATAGGTGTCAAATGAAATGAACCAGATTTAAATCTATTCTGTTTTCCATTTTCATACTCTTAGTATGTTATAATCATGAATTATCTGCTATATTTTCAAATGAGCAGAATTTGAGTTAGTAGCATGTTTAAAAGTAAAATAAAATTCAAAGCAAAACAGAGAGATGCTTTCAAAATGTGAAAATATGAAACTAAAAAACAAAAATTTTTTATTTCCAATTTTTTTTATGATAGATCGGCTTGCACTTAATCATGTCAGTCATTAGAACTTTAATCCTTTTCTATTCATGTAACTAAGATAGCAAACTGTCGTCTAATTTTAAGTTTTTTTTTAATAAAAAGATAAGTTCACAGCCTCAAAATCTTATCATTATTTAAATAATTTATTTTTTGAATTTGAGGTAAGTTATTTTAGTCAAGTAAATTATTATATTTTCTAATTCAACCCACTTTCTGTTCTCAAAGCTTAGGTAATAAGTTGTGGATTATTAGTAATAATCGACACACACTTATTTAATATTGAATACACTACATATTTTTAATCGGTTTATCATCAGACAACTTAAAAAAACAATCCCTAAAATGATGTTTGTTTTAATTAGTTATAAGAAATAATAATAAAATGTATTTGCTTTGAAGCTATTTTTTCATTAACACTATTTGGATAGTTTTTTATTTATGTATTTTTGTTTTTAGACAACTCTACGAATTCGTCTGTTTTAGGAAAATGTTTGGAAATAGTTTGAATTAGCTTAAACTTAATATTTAATTAACCTTTAAAGGTTTCCATATATTTTTCTCTAACCTGCGCCCCACAGAAGTTAAAAGTTTCATTAATTTATTAAATTATTTAGCATATCACATATACAGTAAATGAAGTTTATTACTCGACACATTAATATTTCGCGTTGACGTCACATGGTCACGCATATCAACCGTGGTCTATTCCATAGGTGATACAACAGAACAAAACATAAATATAGCGGTATATATACCTATGCCCAGCGTTACGTTCTACACTGTTTATTTTTGTTGCAACGCGAATTTATTTTAACTAAAATTTGGCTGGAGTTACGTCTGATTATTTTTAGGAATGTTTATACTGACGCTCATTCCAAAAAATTTGCACGTGTTCCTGTATATATTGTGCTATAGGAGAGATATATTTAAAAAGTGCCATTTTAATGTCCCATTAGGCTTGTTACTCAACTCATTAAGCTTCTGTGGGCGAAAGAAGGGGACTTTGTCACTTCTATTTAAACTATGGAATAATTACATACCGTATGCACATACAAGTAGTTTGCAACGCGATTCTTGAGACTGCTAGGCACAGAGATAATAACAATTAAGGTAAGGACAATAATAACAGCGTTAATTACGATTTGCTTGCCTACCTTCACATGTATTTTAATCTTTTTTTATCTACTACGGTGATACATAGCCTCGTACAAAGCGCAATATATACAGGGTGACATAGAAAAAAGTACATTGCATAGTGCCACACAATAGAGGACACTAAAATAAGAAAAAAAGTTCCTATGAACATGGGTCTGCAAGGCCTTCGGTTAAAAGAAACGAGCTGTTGAATTTTATTTTTGTTTGGGGTTTTCTTTTTTTAATATCTTTAGCCAGAGACGCAAGAAATGGATAAAATGTGGTATACAGGTTTTTTTTTATCATGCTAAATTCAAATATGATCTTAGTTTTGTGATTACTGATAGAGGGCGCTACATACAGGGTTCCATATCTATTGAATCGGTCCTAACTTTTTTGCTATACACTATGTCATTTTCGACTGAACAAAATTTGTTATCCCTTCTTTATACGTAAGAAAGGTATTCCTTGTCCAAGTCTAGAAGCAATGGTTCCAGTACAAAAGCCGACAATGCACGCAAATTATTCCAAAAGCGCCAAAGTAACATTTGCAAAAACAATGATAAATAACAATTAAATAATGTGTCATAATGACACTTGTCAAACTAATATAATAATTGTTAGAGGTATTTTGTGTTCTTGATTAAGTTTTTCATTGGTTTTCTCACTGATTATTCAAAATTGCTTTCAAAAATGGTTCGCTACACTTTTGAAGAATACAGGGACATGATTATGTGTTACGGCGAAGCTAGATCAAATTCTTACGAAGCTCAACGTATCTATCGAGAAAGATATCCTTTAAGACAAGTTCCTAATGTTCGAACATTTATTGATGTGCATAGGCGTTTGGGAGAAGATGGCTGTTTTAGAAAACCAAAATTGAATAGTGGGGTTTCCAGAACTCGTCGCACTGTGCGAAACGAAGAAACTGTTTTACGAATGGTAGAAAATAATCCGAGAACAAGCACCAGGAAAACAAGTTCAGCGGTGCGAAACCTTAACCGTGAATCAGTTAGACAAATTTTCAAAGAACAACTTCTTCGCCCATATCATTTCCAAAAAATTCATTCACTATTGGAACATGACTTTGTTCCTCGTGTACAATTTTGCGAATGGTTTCAAAACCAAAGAGAAAACATTATTTCATCAATTTTGTTTACTGACGAAGCTAGTTTTAGTCGTGATGGTATTCTGAACCTACATAACATGCACCATTGGAGTGATGAAAATCCTCATCAAACTATAATTCGGAGTCACCAATATGGGTTTTCTATTAATGTGTGGGCAGGTATAATCGACAATTACTTAATTGGCCCATTTCGATTGCCCAATCGATTGACAGGTGCACTGTATCGAAATTTCTTGGAGAATGATTTAAACACATTATTAGAGGATGTCCCATTGGCCATTATTGGAAGAATGTATTACATGCATGATGGGGCGCCAGCTCACTTTTCTCGAGTGGCAAGGGAATATTTGGACAGGAGATTTGGAAATAGGTGGATTGGTCGAAGGGGGCCTGTACCCTGGCCAGCTCGTAGTCCCAACCTTAATCCCCTCGATTTTTCATTTTGGGGATTTATGAAAAATGAAGTTTATGCTGTAGAAATACATAATGAAGAACAATTATGGATAAGAATTATGGAATCGGCAGATAGATTTCATAATAACCTAGGAATATTTCAAAGATGCCGTCAATCATTAAGAAGAATAATGGAAAAATGTATTGAAGTACAAGGGCAACAATTTGAACATCTTCTAAAAACTTAATGTTTTGTTTTAATTAATCATATTTTTCATCATACCATTAAAATTTAATTGTTGAAGTATTTATCATTGTTTTTGCAAATAAAAAAAAATTTAAATTCAACACCCCGTATCCTTTAACCCAAGGCCTTGCGGACCCATGTTCATAGGAACTTTTTTTCTTGTTTTACTGTCCTCTATTGTATGACACTATGCAATGTACTTTTTTCTATGTCACCCTGTATTTGTTATTTAGATGATCGACCGCCAATCAAACATTCAGTTAGCTATAGGGTAAGGAAAGGGCTTTCCTGGATGTCTTGGTAACTAGAAATCAGAAGCATCTAGCCCATAGTGTCTTCGTGACTTCAAGAAAACCTCCCATGCTGATAGATACCTACAGTAGGATCTCAGGAGCGTTTAGATTTTGAACTTAAACATCTCACTGGATTTTACAAGCAAATTGTTAGAAAGAACGTGATATCAAACTAATCATCAATCCTAGACGTCCGCATAAAGAATGTGACAAACTGGATGAAGATCAGCAGGTAGTATGCTTGCATAATGTTCGCATTGCCAAAGTACTGCGGAGAAAGGGAGTATGTCCAATGTTCAACTCTACATGAAAAGTTCAACAGAAGTTAAGACCAATAAAATATTACAAGGAAGGAAGATGGAATAATCTGAATCATGAAGAAGGTTTTCAGATAAGCAGAATCCGGTTTCCTTTTCTAAACAACAAGCAATAGGCGAGACATCGCTCTGCAGTCCTGTAGGCATACGCAACGGCAATATGAGACCACACCCACCATCCTACTGCATATATTTGAAAGTCTTAGAATTAATAATAAGAACCGAAATCAACATCAGAGCGGGACTAAGGGCACTGTGTTTTTATTGTCTTTAACCGAACCTGTTTACCGAAAACTCCACGTAATTGATGCACAGTCTCAGCTACACACTCTCCGTACTTGTAATGAGTTTTCATAATCTTCACTTGCTCATCAGTAGTATAACGCTTCATTTTGTCTAACCGCAACCTGTTTACTACAAGGTGCTGCACAATGCTGCCAACTCTTCGGAATGAAAATGGCGCACAATTCGAATCCTGTGTTACTTTTGACACCTTCTTTATGTAATGCGAAGATAAAATTAATCATTCAGTTCAAAACAATAGTTAGCTACGTGTGTCATTTATGAGGAACTTTATGCAGAATGTTTTTAAAAATGTTTACTAGATTAATCTTCAGATCTAATGCATAGAAATTAAAGAAACACTTTGGTGATCATTACCTACATTCATGTACACATTTTGTACAAGTAAGCACATAAGAGAAATCTTAATTACAAAGTAATTAAGAATTTTATATCGCATATAGAAAGAAAATAAATATATAAAAAGGTCAGTGTACGAAACTATATATGGAGTCAGAACACTAAGATAAGCGAACTCAGATAATTTTTATGATATTTCAACATGCTATTTGTACAATTTACTGTTTATTTAAGAAAGTACACTTTTGTTTTTCAGAAACGTTTAATTTTCCAGAAGAAGGAACCGCACCGATTTATTACAAGTTTCACGCAACTCCAGAACAACTTTCAAATCTTTATCTGGTCCATTATTTTTAAGGTAAGGTTTTTTTATTTATAAAATTGCATCTGCATCTAACATCACAGAGCTGTAGTTGATACATGTTAAATAACTTTATTTATTGTTTATTTATGTATTTATTACACTAAAGTAGCCAAATAATGGCAAATAAGTAGGCATCGTCATTACACTATGAAGTTTCTGTAATAGGTGTTAGTGATATATATATTTTACAATGATCACGTGTACGTCAGAATATCTGTCTTTATTATAACAGAAATACGTGATACATTAGGTCTTGATAATATAAAGGTAAAACTTCTTGGTCATTGTCGAAACATCCCAATTACTCGCATGAGCTTGCAGTTAGCGTATTATTAATTAAAAAGGTATACAAAATAAACAAAACGAAAGAATTACTACACATAAAACAACACGAAATATCGTTAAGTAGCTACTTTGCCATTAATATGTTTAAAATTTTTCACTGAATATTTTGTTTTGAAGATAACAGTTAAGATTTAAATATTATCCGAGTAAAGATATATGTACTTATTGGGACTAAGACTATGTTTTATTTACAAACAAATGGTTATGTAAGTAGCCCTGACCTTCGTTATATGCTCTTCTCTTAGGAATATATTCGAGGTCTATCTGTTACATGTTTTAAAATTGAAGGTAATAGCATCAAAACTGATAACAACACAAAACATAGTGGCAATATCGCAGAAAACAAGAGTCGATCCTCTTGTAAAAATAGACCCCAAAATTAACTTTTCTTCGTAATACGTTCCTTGATCCTTTAAAAATTGTATTGTCAGGAGTTACAGTTTTCAATGAGTTAGGTATTGAAAAACATTTGCTGATGTTGAAGTAAGCTACAAACTTGTAGAGCAGTTCTTTCACAACAGGAAAAGTTTGGAAATATCCAACCAAATTACAAAAGTCTCAGCGGGCACAAACTTTCTTATTTTTGAAAATTTGGATAGAAACTACTTTTGTGTCTAATAGTAAAAATTCAAAAATTGTAGCAATGTTACCAGTTGTTACTGTCACCAAAAGACCCTGCAAATTTTCATTTCTTTCTGTTATGTTAATGTCTTTCTGTTTTGTTATAATGTTAATTAAATGAATCTAAAAAACAAATGTATCCAAAATCATAAACTTTTTCTAGTTTATCATGTTTAAACGTTTGTATTATAATTCTGTACCAGTATATAAATTAAATCTAAGTCGTAATACTTGAATATGGATACGAAATGTTACATGAATGTCAACTGCTTTGCTTTACAGTCATGTCCTTGGATTGAGGTGATGTTATGATAATCTTGTCCATGCAAGATGGAAACCACCTTGACGATACCATTTCAGATTTCGGTCGAAAAAAAGACTTGTTTTATATTTGCTGACTAATTTTAAGTGTGATATGATTTCATTCGTTGAGTTTAAAGGAAAACCAATTAATTTTTTCTAATATATGTTAAATGAGGTAGATTGTCTAAGTAGTCAGTGGATATTGAAGTTTCCACATCTGCGAGATGTACTCGTTATTTACTTTTTTGTGCAAGTTTATTAAACTGGGTTAAGTTCAAGCACTGTAGACTAAATTATCTCAACCGCGAAGACGAGATATAAAATTGAACTTTATTAATTTATAAGTTTTGGTTTGACCTATATTAGTTACGTATATGAAATTTTATTATTTCCATTATTAATGTTATTATAAACTGTACGTAAACCAAAGCTCGGTTTCCTTTTGCTCGTGCAACATTGAAAGTGGACTTGATTGTTCCCTTAAACTTGAAAGTGGGCTAGCTGAAAGTTTAAAAACAAGTCGTGTTGTGTCTATTATCCGATGAAACGTCGAGGTCGATCAGTTTAATTTGCAATGTTATGGGTGCTATTATTCATGTAAACCATCCAAGTATGTCGCAATACTGAAGATAATCCCTGCATTATGAAACCATTCGAAATAGTGATTACGGTTTTGTTCCAGTGTAGTAAATTTACATATCGATCTTTATTTTGCATATTTTCATTAGTTGACATTTGTTAAGTAAAAGAAGAATTTGGTCAAGGTTGCCTGTGATTGTTAACAGCGTCGGTACATGAGGGAAATAGGTAGTTTTACTTCAATACGCTGTCTCGGGCCATTTTTTTTTCAAAAACAACTTCAAATTCATTTTGTTAATTTTCTAATTAAGTTAAGAATGTTTGTTGATTTATGTACTAATTTTTGTAATACTTCTCCATCTTGAATACCAGATTATATTCGAATTGGTTCGAGATGAAATTTCTAAAACTTGAAAAAGGGTATATAAAATGGGCAATACAGTCTATTTTATGAACATAAATGGGAAAGATAGATATAATTTCAAAGCGAGAGAAAACAGTTGCTATTTATGGAAGTTTGTAGGTCTAATTGATTTTGTATCAAGTGACAAAAATTGTTGAGGCTTCTACATTAGAATTTTATTTAAATGTTAACTGAATTGTAATTAAAGACGATTACATTTCGAAAGACATATTGCTCGCTCCTTCCGAAGAAATTATAACACTGGGTATTAAGTAAGTCCTCTGGATGGTATTTATATTTACTATATGCACGTTTGAAGTCACTAACCTATCCTTGGTTTTTACGTTTCGAAATTGAGGTAGTTTTAAGCCTTCTTCTCAGTTAAAATTATCTCGACTTTTGTAGCTCTCTATTGATTATCTGTAGAATCTTTGTAGAATTCTAGTATTACTTCTGTCTATTCGCGAATGCAGCTAAGAGCTCGCCCTCTGGCGGTGACAAGTGATACTAGCGAAACAAGGTAAATATTTCTTCTGTGTGTGACATTTCGTTTTGTATTTTATTTAAAACTGAATTTAGTGTTCGTTTTTTGAACACTGTTATTTTAAGAAAATAATGTGAGGAAAATTTCAGTAATTATGGATAGAAAGAAGAAACTGTCAAACTATTATTGTTCAGTTCAAGGTTGCTCTTCATGGTTCAAGAAAAATCCAGAATTAAGTTCTCATCAAACTGAAGACATTTTCAAAATATTATTGCCGATAGATAATACTCCCTGAATTTCATGAGGGTTGTTAGTAAGGGCCCTAGTCTGCAGACATAATATAAATTTCTAAATTTAAATTAACTTTGCTCAATTTTCCCATATAGTACCACATGATCAGCCTTAAAAACTGCCTCTCCTTCTAATATACAACGAGAGTTTTCGTTAGCATATATGTAAATAGGAAATGTATTCCACAACGGATAAATTCATAGTTATAACTTAATAAAATGTACATTACATTGTAATGCTAGAGACAAATAAAGTAGACATAAATACTTGCCTTAAAATTTATTTATGAAATATTTGAAACCTATAAAATAACACAAAAGTGAAATAACCACAGTTTGATAACAAAATTACTAATAATAATGGCAAATAAGACAAATGTTGTTCAAATTAATGTGTAAACGCGAACGGCAATGTCAAAATTACCTTGTTTAGGAGCTTATTGCTTTCGCCGCTTGGTGCGCTTGCATCTTAAAAATTATCGCGGATTAAGTGCCCTGTACTCTGCAGCTGCTGATTTTCCTTGTTCTAGGTATCTCTCTAATGACTTATTCAGTTCAATGTTTTTGTTAGTTGTTGTTAGTGTTGCTAGTGTTAGTGTTGTTGTTATTTCCTCTGAAGAAAAACATATTTCTCCCATTTATATGCAACTCTCTGGAAACCCTAGGAAACTCTATTTTAATTCTATCATGAGGCTTCTCTGTGCGCATAAAAAATATTCCCATATTTCTGATTAAACAGATCAAAACAACGTTATAACAATGTGCTACCTATTTAAACAAAGAAAATCTCAAAAGTACGTATAGCAATTCTGTACGTGTAGGAATAAAACTACCGTATTCCATATCTGTGTTTAGTTAGTAATTCTAGCAAATGATCTGGAACCAGGAACTAACATGCTCTTTTATGTACGTTGAACTCGATCATGAATTTGATGAAAAGAGTTTCCGTTGCATGTATTTAGGAAGAGTAGGTTAAAAACAAATATGGTCCAGAAAAGGGATTTCTCTTGGTTTTTGCATCCAATGCACTAAGAAAAATATAGCAAATCCGCAATAAAGTGACAGAAACAAATATGTAAATGTACAAAACTAATACCAACTAGTAGGTAATAAGTATTAAATGTTTCGAAAACTTTCCTTACCTTTTTACATATAGTGCCCAGAAAAAACGCCCTCTATCCGAATCTGTAAAAAATTAGTTACCATTTAAACAAAATAGTGACGTCATTGTTTAAAACAGATCATCATTTAAATAGAGGTATACATGTCGGTCGGAGATTTTCGTTTTTATTTCTATTTAAATTAATTTATTCCATAGTTTTGACACGGGTGTTTTGTTCTGTTTTAAATACTTCAGAAATTAGTCTCCCAAAACCACTGAGATATATTTTTTGTTAGATTTAAAGAAATTGGAACATATTTTTCAGTTCTGTATAGTTTTTCGTTTGCCAACGTTTCATCAGATTTATTGGCTCTCATCAGAATAAACATAATCATATGATACAGTAATCCAAACTTATGTAAGTTACGAAAACAGAAAATCCAGGTTCAGGTTCTGTGAAGTGTTATCATAAATACAGCAGATTTTTATGTACATACATTCATACATACTAGTCTTTCGTGTCATATTTGTTAAAAATGTGATCTAGTTAATATAACATTTTGGTTTTATTTATTGCCGCATTTGATAATTGATATATTGAGTGTCGTCTGGCAATTTTTTTTATCGTTCTGAAAATTACACGTGTTTGAAATATAAACATTATCAGTAAGAACAAATATTTTATAAATCATATTTAAATCTGAAAGCGTCAAGATCTTATCAGGCATCACGCTGTCTAGTGTCCTTTGTTGTTATTTATCATCATTTAATAGGTTGTTATCGAATCTAATTAAAGTCACCACATTTACCTCATTTATTGTTTTATCGTATTGTCTTTTACGTGAAAATAACCAAAAATTATCTGTA